TCAGAGAGAACATCTTGATTATCACCAGACCTCTTCCTCAGACTTTCACACAAGGCTGCAGTATAGGTCACAAAAGTCTCCCTACCACTCAGGGTCTCTCCACCAGGCTGAATTCTTTGTGGACTGTCTTCTTGCTGCCAGAGACTGCTCTCCCCTGGGAACCAAAGAGGGAGGTCTCCTGCGTGTTGAGCTTCATTAGCTGAGAGCCTGCAGGGGATTTAGTCCGGTCAGCAGGCACACCTTGCTGATTCATAGCAACTGTCTCACTGGGCTCTCCTAATTGGAAAGGTATGTCTTTTCTGAGATTTGCCCTTGAGTTATGGGGCAAAGATTTAGATTTGGATTTAGACTTAGATTTAGATGCCATCACTGTTTCTTTACTGGTAGGTACCACTTGGCTCTTTGGTGTGCTACAAGATTCAGGGTTCATCACTGTTTCATCACAGGGAGGCACCACTTGTCTCTGAGCTGACACAAGCTGAGTGGTCTCCACAGGGGCAGTCTGTGGAGTGCAGGGCCCAGGCTGAGAATCACCTGGAGTTTCTCTCTGGTCCTTCAGTGGTTCAGGGACGACCTTCTGGTGCTCCTCAGGTTTCTCAGCTGTTCCAGAATCGGAGAACATGGTGCCAAACTAGGTTTTCAGTTCTGGGAGCTTAAGTTCTTAAGAGTAGTCCAATATGAAGACAGACAGAGGCTATGTAGTAGAGCCAAGCAGCTCTAGAATGTGAGCTGGAGGCCAGGGCTTCAGACCTGCACAGGCTGTGATGAAGGGGGCCTGGGAGAAAGGATAAACAAACTTTTTTTTTTTTTTTTTTTTTTTGGTTTTTCGAGACAGGGTTTCTCTGTGTAGCTTTGTACCTTTCCTGGAACTCATTCTGTAGTCCAGGCTGGCCTCGAACTCACAAAGATCCGCCTGCCTCTGCCTCCCGAGTGCTGGGATTAAAGGCGTGCGCCACCACTGCCTGGCGAATTTCATTTTTTTTTAATGAAAATTTTTAATTAAAAAGTTTATTTAGCTGGGCGGTGGTGGCGCACGCCCTTAATCCCAGCACTTGAGAGGCAGAACCAGGAGGATCTCTGTGAGTTCGAGGCCAGCCTGGGCTACAGAGCCAGATCCAGGAACGGCGCAAAGCTACACAGAGAAACCCTGTCTCGAAAAACAAAACAAACAAACAAAAAAAGAAATTCAATTTTTAAAAAAGAAAGGAACCTTTGGGGTTGGTGAGATGGTTTAGGAGGGAAAGGTGTTTGCCTCCAAGACTGATGACCTCAGTTTGACCCTAAAGACTCATGGTAGAGAGAACTGACTCCCCGAAGTTGTCCTCTATTCTCCACACATGTACTGTGGTGTGTGTGTGTGTGTGTGTGTGTGTGTGTGTGTGTGTGCACATGTGCACGCACACTCATGCATGCACGCGCGCTCACGCGCGTGCACACACACAAATACTAGTATTTAAAATAGAAAAAAAGGGGGGAGCCCATGATCTTGGGGCATTTGCTTTGGGGTACGTCGGCTGCCACCCCTAGAACACACAGCCACTTTCACTAAGGGTAGTGGTGACAGGAGCTGGTCATTGGTGCTGATGGATTCAGTGCCCTTCTATGCCCACGGCATGGTTGAATTGGGTTGTTGAACTAATTCTAGAGGATGAACGGAGAAAGACCAGAATCACTACCAGACACATCACCTCTGGCCCTACCGACTTCCTGCCAATCATTTAGTGGTTGGTTCAAGACACTTAAGGTCTCTCAGTCTTTTTTTTTTTTTTTTCTTTCAGTTTTTCCGAGACAGGGTTTCTCTGTGTAACTTTGCACCTTTCCTGGATCTCGCTCAGTAGACCAGGCTGGCCTCGAACTCACAGAGATCCGCCTGGCTCTGCCTCCCGAGTGCTGGGATTAAAGGCGTGTGCCACCACCACCGCCCGGCAAGGTCTCTCAGTCTTAAGCAGGGGCCTGGCACTGCTGAAAGTCACAGCCGCTCCATCCAGCTCCTCACTGTGTAACCCAGGATGATGCTACACAGTTGAAGGGACATATAGTGAACGAGAAAGCTTCGGTTTGAAGTTCCTTTGCCATGTGGGGATGACCACATCATTTAGTCTCTTCTGGCTGAGACGAAAGATCAGATGTTAAATACAACTACAGCTGAGTATGGTACTATTCTCCCAAAATCCAAGGATTTGGGAGGTGGAGGCAGGAGGATTATGAGTTGGAGGCTAGCCTGAGCTACATGAGACTGTATCTTAAAACAAACAAACAAAAAAAAAAAAAAAAAAAACAAGCACCAGGCTACAGAGTGACTTACCAGCTAAGAGAACTTCCTACTTTACCAGACGACCCAAGCATCCATAACTCAGGGCTTACAACGGTCTATAACTCCAGATCCAGGGGACAAAATACCTTCTTCTAGCCCCAGGAGTGCCCATATGCATGTAACAGATACACACATACATAGTCACACAAATGCATAAATAAAAATAAAACGAACAGGCTGAGCAGATGACTCAACAGATAAGGGGCCTTGCCGCCAAGGCTGATGGCCTGAGTTCGGTCCCTAGGACCCACACACAGTGGAGGGAGAGAACTGGCTGCCACAGGTTGGCCTCTGGCCTCCACACGTGTGTGAGACACACACATACCCACGCTTGCTAAATAAAGCATTTTTGGGAGTGTAGGTCACTGGTAAAACACTTGCTTGGCATGCTGGGAGATACTTGGAAGTTTGAAAGTCCAGGATAGATAACAAGCATGAGATCATAGGCCTCCATGGCACCTCCGTGGCACAGAGGCTTGACAAATTATTTGGAAATAAAATATGCAGGAAGTTTTACGCAATGACCAGGCTCTGTTAGTCAGGGGTCAAAGGTCACAGGACATGAGGAGAGTGTTATAGAAAATTCAGGCTAAAGCCAACTCGAGCAGCCACGGCCCAGGGCATCCTGTTCTTCCTTCCCAGCTCAGTCACGAGCCCTTCCCATCTCTCTGCCTCAGTTTCCTCCCTCGATGTTGAAGCAGTGGGGGAAACCTTAGGAAGATGTATGAGAGTTTTCTCACCATTATCCAACTGGCTGCCTTTAACTGTCCATAGGAAACAAACTCAACCAGCCGTCACAATTCTGAAATGCTGAATCCCTGCAAATGAACCAGGATCGTTTGAAACTGTTCGCTTCACTACATGGGGGGGGGGGGGGGGCTTCTGTTTGTTCTTGTTTCTTTGAGAGGGTCTCATGTACCCTGGGCTGGCCTCAAGCCCACTCCGTAACCAAAATTGAACTGGAACTTCTAGTCCTCCTGTCTCTACTGCCCCAGTACTGGGGATTACAGGGAAATGTCGCCATGCCTGGCTTTAAATTGATGGCTTAAAAAATGTTTTCATCTGTGTGTGTAAGGGGCAAGTGGATAGACTGGCATGCATACGGGTGCCCACAGAGGCCAGAAGAGGGCATCAGGTCCCCCTGGAATCAGGTTCTCTGGGAGAGCGAGCAGCCCATGCTCTCAACCATTTAGCCGTCTCTCCAGGTTCCCAGGGTGGCTTTTTAAAAGACTTGTGGGAGCCGATGGGAAAGCATAGCACGTGGAGATGCTATGGCCAAGGCTGAAAACCCGAGTTCAGCTCCCAGAGCCCAAGTGCTGGAGAGAGGACCGATTCCACAAGCTGCTCCCTGGACCACGGCTGGTGCATACCCACAGGGACACATACAGAGGATGCCGCAGAGATGAGACCCTGTCTCAAACCAGGTGGAAGACGAGGACTGACCCTCTGACCTCTACACACCCAGTGCATGCCCAGATTTTTTAAGATTTATTTTTATGTGAATTCATGCATGCGTGCGTGCATACGTGTGTGTGCGTGTGCGCGTGCACGTGCGTGTGTGCGTGTGTGCGTGTGTGTGTGTGTGTGTGTGTGTGTGTGTGTGTGTGTGTGTGTGTAGGCCAGAAGGAGGGTGTCAGATCCCCTGGATCTGGAGATACAGGTGGTTGTGAGCTACCACTGTGGGTGCTGGGAACAGAACACAAGTCCTCTGAAAGAGCAGGGAGAACCCTTAGCCACTGAGCCATCTCTCCAGGCCCACAAAGATTCTTTTAGAAGGGTTTCTGTCGGGGTCTATTGGTTAGGCAGACAAGCTTGAGGGAACCATGGACAAAGAGGACGCTGCCTCAGCACCAGGAAGACAGGGACTTACGTCCTCTGGGAGCCCCCGAATACAGTGGAAGGTTGTTTGCTTAGATGAACTTTCCAAAGCCTGCCTTTTCTGAGAGGGTGAGTCAGATGTGCACATCTGTGGGCCTGTAGTGTGTTTTGATAACACAGCTGTCCTGATGTTGCTGGCCCCACCCCTGACCTGCAGCATCCTTAACTGTGAAAGTTATTTGAATGATAGACACCAGTGCCTTGGGGGGAAAGGTGCTGCCCCCGGGGCACACAGGCTCTCCTGGGACAGCTATGACAGAACTCTGTCATCTGAGCCTTGCCCCCAGAGTGCAGTGGGACTGCCACATCTCAGGTGTGGGACAGTCAGACTGGCTGTGAGTGGTCAGCGTGAGAAAAGGGGGACTGCTGCTGTCCTCTGGTCTCTGTGAGCCTGTCTGGGGCCAGGAGGGGGACCCCAGAGGACAGATCAGGAACCTGACAGCATAAGGCAGAAATGAGCTGTAGCCTTTAGAACTTGAAGCAGCGTAAAGGGGGGTGCTCCATGTAGACCAGCAGAGGCCGGTCCTGCCCCGCCCCATGGAACATCGGCAATAAATGACTCCCAAGACCCTTTCTACCTAGACAGTCCTCTGCTAACTTCCCTGAGCCTAAGGGTGACAGGACCTCTGGGGTCTGCTATGTCTCAGAGTGCTTCTGTCCCTGCCTCATCATCTTTCCCATCAGTCAGAGAGGAGGTGGGGTGCCGATCACACCGCTCCACATAACCCCGGCTGCATGCAGTGAGCAGTTGAGAGACAGTGTGCGTCAGCCCATCCTGTCTCACTCCAGGCCCCACTCTTCACTCTAGGTGGAAGAAACACAGACAGAACTCCTGGAGACACTGGACAATGAGGGAAGGATCCTGGATGGAAGGCGTGAGGAAGCTGGGCAAGGTGAGCACCGAGAGGCCACAGGAGGCTCCTCAGGGGGCCCTGGGCCTCAGAGGGGTGAGGGGACTTTCCTCTTGGGGCGTGTCTTTAACATGCTTTGCTTTCCTTTATTTGAGCATCCTCCCCACCACACCCATTTTTTTCTTTCGTTTTAAAAGCCTCTACAGGAAGTCTGCCCACCTCAGGTGGGCGTAGCAGCACACGCCTATAATCCCAGCAGTTGGGGGATGGAGGCAACAGGCGGGTCAGGAATCCAAGGCAAGCCTCTGCTTCTCACAAAGTGGAGATCAGCTCGGGCTATTTTCAACCATGTCCCAAAAAGGGAGGGGTCAGGATCTAGAAAACCCAGACAAACAAAATCACTCTTTTTATATAGCCACCTTCCATCCCTACAATGACGACTCCTAAAATTTACAGGTAAGATGGGCCTAGGGAGATGGTTCTGTACATAAAAATGCGTGTGGCCCAAGTGTGAGGACCTGAGCTCAGATCCCCAGAACTCACGTAAAGAGGGACCACTGGGTGCATCTGTCATCCCTGCTCTCATGGCAAGATGGGAGGTGGAGACAGGAGAATCCCCAGAATCTCACAGTCCAGCTAACCTAATGTCTGCAGCGGCAAACAAGATCAGCATCTGAGGTTCCCCTCTGACCTCTGCTTAGACCACAGACACACACAGATAGAGAAGAAATCATGGCTAGGATAGTCGGGTGTGCCTCACGGCTCGCAGTCCATCACACACAAAGCTAAAGGTAAGAGGACCGCTGTGTGTTTGAGGCCAGTCTGGGCAACAGAGTGAGTTAAAAGCCAACTGAGATGCATGGCCAAAGCCTGTCTCAAAAAATTAAGCAAAGGTTGGAGGAATGGCTCAGCAGTTGAGAGTATGTGCTGCTCTTCTGGAGGACCTGAGTCTAGTTCCCAGCACGCGCAACTAGGAACTTACAACCGCCTGAACTCCAGTCCCAACGGAACAAATCCTCTCTTCCAGCTTCCACAGGTACTAAGGTCATGTCATACACCCACACAGACAGACAGATAGACACACACACATACACACACAAAAAAATTAAATACTGCTTTTATAATTAAATCAGTTTTTGTCAATTCTTAGTTTTTAAATAATTTAGAACTGAAATGACTAAGTCCATGTATATTTATTTTTTCAGATTAGCAAATCACACCTCCAACATCGATATGTATGACACTGGTGATGTTTAGTGCATTCACAATGCATGCAGTCATTACTACCACTCAGTTCCAGAATATTCTCCTCACCCCAAAAAGAAACACCCAGCAGTAGTCACTCTGTCTTCCCAGCAGCCTCTGGCAACTGCTAACCTGCTCCCTGATTTCATGGTATCAGATAGCCTGGCTTACTTCACCCGGCAAGATGCCTCCATGTTACAACATCGTCAGGACTCCAGCTCTTTTTTATGGCTGAGTAATACTCCATTGAATAGACATACCATGCTTTGTTTACTTATTCATCATGGATATCCAAGCTGTCTCCGCCTCTGGCCACTGGGAACGGTGCCATTAGCCCAAGAACTCACTTGGATGGGTGTTTCCATGTCACCTCACTTTACATGTAGGAGGAGAATATGGTATTTCTATACTTCACCTTTTGAGAAACTCCCAAACTCTTTCCCACAGCAGTTGTCCTACTTCCTTCTCCTCCCAGCGAGGTCTGAGGGCCCCAGTGGCTCCACAGCCCTGTCCATGTGTATCATTTGCCCCTCGCTGTCATCACTGTGGTGAGCACGGGGTGGCATTTCATTGAGGGTGTTGGCTTGGGTTTTTGTTTGTTGTACTGCTATTGTTTGAGACGTAAGCTCACTGTGTAACCCTGGACAGCCTGGAACTTACTAGTAGCCCAGCCTGGCTTCCAGCTTGCAGTGGTCCTCCTGCCTCAGCCTCCTGAGGGTTGAAATTAAAGGCATGTGCCAGCACAACCAGCCAATCTGTTTACTCTTGAGACTGAATGTCACGAAGCCAACCAGCCCGGGCTCAGCCTCCCACGTACTGAGGTCACAGGGGTGTGGCACCACAGAGGTGTGACACCACGGCTAGTGTGTTGGGCTTTTGAGCTGCATTTCCCTACCCATCAACTGGCTGACAACTTTTTGTGTACTGTTGGCATTTGTATAGCTACTTTGGGAAAGTTATGTATGTTTTAACAACATTGAAATTGACTCGTGACCCTTCTCCAGATTTACTTCTTTTTTGGTTTTGTTATGTTTTGTTCTGTTCGAGACAGGGTCTCACTGTGTAGCTCTGGCTGTCCTGAAACTCCCTTTGTAGATCAGGCTGGCCTTGAACTCACAGAAATCTGCCTGTCACTGCCTCCCGAGTGCTGGGATTAAAGGCGTGCTCCACCACACCTGGCTCCAAAATTACTTCTTTTATAAGCCGTTGTGATCATAAGAAATTCATGTGCAAGTTTTATATCCTGTGTGTGTGTGCACACACACGCACATGCACACGCACATGCACACTTGCATGCATTATGTAGTCATTTGTGTGTAGTACCTTCAGAAGCCAAAAGAGGGCGTCATATTTCCTGCAACTAGAGTTACAGGTGATTATGAGCTGTGGTATGTGGGTGCTGGGCACTGAACTCTGGTCCTCTGTAAGAGCAGCACGTGTTCCTGACCCTGAGCCTCTCTCCGGCCCTTGTTCTTTTCATTTAACACTGTATCAAGCATGTTCCCAAGTACAGCTACAAAAAGGAAGGCTGGCAGCAGACCAGGTTCCAGGCTTATGCCTGTAATTCCACATTCAGGAGGCTGAAGCAGAAGGATGGTGAATCTGAGGCCAGCCTGGGCTACAAGGTGAGGCCCTGTCTCATAAAAAAACAAAGCAAGTCTAGACCATAACACACGAGGGTTTGCTTGCTTCTTGAGAGTCTAGCATCTGGATTTGGTTCTTCAAAGCAATTCTTTCATGAAGATTTGCCTCTCCATTGGCATTCAATCCCTCTTCCATTCCTAGTAACACAGTGACTAGGACAGAGGGCGGAACAACTCTCAAACTCTTGAAACATTGACAGTGGTGCAGATGTCTGCCAATAGAGTTAGAACCCCTGGAAGACAGACTGACATCAAGCACACTCCCTCACAAGCCTGAATTGTTCTGCCTACATGACTACATGGGAAAACCTTGCCCTGTGGGCATTGGTTTAATCATATTTAGTAAAATAAATACATAGATGCAAAGTAGCCCACTATGGAGCCCAGCAGGGAATGCCTATGGGGGAATCTTCCCAGTAGTCAAAATTCTATTTTTTTTTTTTTTTTTTTTTTTTTTGGTTTTTCGAGACAGGGTTTCTCTGTGTAGCTTTGCGCCTTTCCTGGGACTCACTTGGTAGCCCAGGCTGGCCTCGAACTCACAGAGATCCGCCTGGCTCTGCCTCCCGAGTGCTGGGATTAAAGGCGTGCGCCACCACCGCCCGGCAAAATTCTATTTTTTTAATAATTTTTATTTCATGTGCATTCATATTTTTCCTGAATGTATGTCTGTGTGAGGTCTCTGATCCCCTTGAAACTGGCGTTACATGCAATTATGCCATGCCATGTGGGTGCTGGGAATTGAACCTGGGTCCTCTGGAAGAGCAGCCAGTGCTCTTAACCACTGAGCCATCTCTCCAGCCTCTTTAAAGTGTATTACATTTATTTTTGGGGTGTGTGTATGTGTGTGTGTGTGTGTGTGTGTGTGTGTGTGTGTGTGCATGTGTGATATGTATGGGTGCGCACATACCACAACACGTGTGGAGGTCAGAGGACAACCTACAAGAGTCAGTTCTCTCCTTCTGCTACATGGGTCTTAGGGATTGAACTCAGATCACCATAGAGAGACCCTAAGCAAACCAACATTTATTTGCTATTTTTGTTGCTGATGGTGGTGATTGTCATTGTTTAGGCTACACAGGGTTTCACTATGTAGCCCTTGCTGTCCTGGAACTTACTATGTAGAATAGACCAGGCTGGCCTGGAACTCACTGAGAACCATCTGCCTCAGCTTCCCAAGTACTGGGATTAAAGGTGTGCGCCACCACCCTCTGGCAAGGTTCCCTCTTCTTAAGTGACTCTGGGTTGTATCCAGTTGACGATATACTCTAGCCAGCACAGCTCCTGAGCCAGCCTGGGAAAGAGAAAGATTAAGAAGGCCATTGCTCAGCACCTGGGTCCAGTGGGCCCTGGGGTGATCATCAGAACCTTCTAGACCTCAGGAGCTTGACAGGTTTTGTGAAAAGTGTTTGAGTTTATAGTGATCTCCTTTCTTCACAGCCTTGCAGTCATCATGTGCACAGGAGAAAGACACTTGCAGTGTCTCCATCCAAGAAGCCAAAGCCCCATTGCAGGTGAGAAGGGCCTGGCCATTTGGATGTGGGTAGTGGGGGAATGGTAAGGAAGCCACATGGAGCCCCAAAGCAGCCCAAAATGATGCTTTCCATGCATCCTGGCCCTTTGATGTGGTGACCAGATAGTTGGTCAAGGGGACTTGGCATGCTTTCAGGGCTGGCCTCCTTTCCTACGGAGTTACCTGTTTTGTGTTTTCTGAAGGGGGTAATTAATGTATTATTATGATTTTTTTGGTTTTTCAAGACAGGGTTTCTCTGTGTAGCTTTGCGCCTTTCCTGGAACTCACTCGGTAGCCCAGGCTGGCCTTGAACTCACAGAGATCCGCCTGGCTCTGCCTCCCGAGTGCTGGGATTAAAGGCGTGCGCCACCACCGCCCGGCCTTATTATGATATTTTATGTGGCTATTTTTGCCTGTGTGTATGTCTATGTGCCACTTGTACGTCTGATGCCCTCAGAGGCCAGAAGAGGTTGTTGAATACCCTGGAAAGAGCTATAGACAGTTGTGAGCCATCACGTGAGTGCTGGGAACTGAACTCAGACCCTCTAGAAGAGGAGGTAGCACTCTTAACCACTGAGCCGTATCTCCAGCCCATCAGCTTTCTTAATTGTAGCTGGACACAACCTAACACAGCCTGGGAAGACAGCTTCAATGAGGAATTGTCTGCGTTGGGTTGGCCTGGGAGGTATTGCCTCAATTATACTAACTGATGTGGGAAGACCCAGCCCGATGTGGGCATCACCCGACACCCAGGGCATTCAGAGGGTCCTGAACTATGTAAGGGTGAAGAAATCAAGTCAGCACCATCGAACAAGCAGGTGAACAAGCATACACTAACGTCGCTGTTTTTTGTTTTGGGTGTTCTGTTTTTTAACTGTGAATGTGCTGGGACTCGCTGTTTGAAGTTCCTGCCTTGACTTCCCCATAGTGATAGACGGTAACCTGGAATTTTAAGCTGAAATGAACCCTCTTCGCCCCTACATTGTTTTGTGTTGGGGTGTTTATTAGATAGCAACAGAAATGAAAGTGGAGCATTTCCCAAGGACTGTCAGGAGGATCTTGGGGATGGCATGGACTGTAGAGTGGAGCTGATGTCCTGAGGCCCAGGACTGTGGTGTCATGAAAGCAGATGCTCAGAGAGACTCCCAGAGGAATGAGGTCTAAGCCTGGAAGATGCTTAAGATCCCTCAGCGAAGGGAAGCCCTCGGCAACATCAAGCAACTTGCTCAAGAGCATGGAGGAAGGGAAGAACACAGGACATCTAAAGAAGTCCAGAAAGCCAGAGTTGTAGAGAGGCCAGGGGGAGGCAAGGGCCACAGGGTAGGTAGGACTGAGCCCGAGAGCATAGGAAGAGGTTGGCCTCTGCCACAAAAGGCATGACTGAGGAGATCTCTGTCAGGGGAAAGGTACAGAGAACCTGCCCTGAGATTGGGGGTGTGATGTGATGTTGAGCCCCTGCATAGACAGAAGTGGAGGATAAAAGCCCAGTAGAGCCCAGCATGGCTGAGCTTTGAATGTAGGTTGACATTGGTCTTAAATAACCAGGACATCATCCCAAGAGTTTAGGCATCAGTATCAGTTAACTTTTCTCACTACTGTGACCAAATACCTGACAAGAAGCAACCGAGGGAAGGAAGAGTTCACGTTGGCTGATGGTTTGAATCATTCCATTGTGGTAGGAAGGCGTGGTGGCGGGAGCTGAGGTGGCTGGTCACATTGCACCCGTGGTCAGGAAGCAGAGAAGTGATGAACATGGGTACTCAGCTCACTCTGTCCTTTCTATTCAGTTCAGGACCCCAGCCTATGGCACGGCGTCACCTAGATCCCAAGTGGCTCTTCTCACCTCAGTGAACCTGATCTAGAAATTCTCACAGGCATGCCCAGAGGTTTTTCTCCTGGGTGACTCTAGATCCTGCCAAGTTATCAATCAATATTGACCATCATAAGAGTCATGAAAGGCTATAGAGTGAGAGGTAGAGCTGGGATGTTTCAAGCCCTAGTGGCAGTGGATTCAGCCTGCTCTGCTGGGTGGTGTATGGCGCAGACCAGGAGCACACTGAAGAACCCCAGTCCTTTCCTTTTAATTGACATGAAGAGAATCACCTTGACAAGCCAAGCTCTTTACTTCCTGCTCCCTTCTCCAGAACTCCTGCACAATGCCGGTCTCATCACAGGAGGCCATCCCGGCCCAGACGAACGAGGTGGAAGGGTCCATCCTTAGCCGACTCTATAAGAACCACATCCAGGTGCGTACAGAACACAGGCAGGCCTTTATCCTTGGCACTGTGGGAAGGCCATGGGTAGGCAACGGTAGCGGGCAAGACTCAAAGCTGACACATTCCCCTTCACAAGAGCCCGGCAGCAAGAGGGTCCTCAATTCACACCAAGAGAGACAGACAGATGGTGGAGCACACAGCTCTATGGGTCCAGAGGGAACTTGGGGCAACTAGCCAGCGTGACACAAGATAGCAGCCTACTGAACTACAGCTGTGTGCCCCCTCCCCCAGACGCATGCCTCAAAGAGTGCCCCTGGGAGGAGATAAGAGAAACACAACCTTGGCTGTGAATGGGGGATCACACAAGCCCGATGCCGTGAGCTGCTGGCAGAGTGGGGAGCGGGGGAGACCCATGTCCCTTGCTACCTGCTGGTTGATGGGGTGCCTCTGTGTCCTTCTCTAGGATTATGGGAGCCCCGGCCCATTCTGGGAGCAAGAGCTGGAGAGTTTGCACCATGTCATTGAGATGAAGAATGAGCGGATTCATGAGCTGGAGAAGCAGCTGCTCCTCCTGGAGATGTTGGTCAGTGCTGGGCGGGCAGCAGGCCGCCACTTCCAGGGCATTTCTAGTTCCAGCGTATCCCATACCCCGCCCCTCATCCCCCAACCTGCCCCTGACAGCTCGGCTGCTCTGCTGTTCCTGCCGGGTGTCTGGTCTAGGTCAGGCAGCGGCTTCTTGTCACCTGACTCCTGTCTTTTCTCGGGCCCTCAGGTTGCTGTAACTAGGGCAGCAGTGGGGCCCCGGCAGCCCCTGCTCCTCAGAAGGGGTTGCAGCTGTCACACTGCAGGCAGGGCCTGAGAAAAAGAAGTGAGGCCCACAGGCCAGGCAAGCAGAGGAGGCTAGCCTCAACAGAGGTGGAGCTGGGGAACTGCGGTCCCTTGAAGACCCAGAACTGAGGCCTCAGAACCCTGAGACACTCTCACCCTTAGGTTCCGTCAGTTTGTGTGATTGGTCTGTTTGGGTTTTTATTAGATGGATGTATTTTGTGTACCTATGGGTGGGTGGGCATATGCCATGGCATGCATGGGGAAGAGGTCAGATGACAGCTTGCAGGAGTGAATTCTCTCCTTTCACCATGGGGCTTGCTGGGATTGAACTCAGGTTGTCCAGCATGGCAGAAAACACCCTTTACACTCTAAGCCATTTTTTTAAACTATTTATTTATTTATTTATTTATTTATTTATTTATTTATTTATTTATTTATTTATTTTGTACACAGCATTCTTCCTGCATGTATTATGCCTGCATGCCAGAAGAGAGCACCAGATCACTGTAGATAGTCATGAGCCACCACGTGGTTGCTGGGAATTGAACTCAGGACCTCTGGAAGAGCAGCCTATGCTCCTAACCTCTGAGCCATCTCTCCAGCCCCCAACCTTTTTTTTTTTTTTTAAAGATTTATTTTTGTGTGTGAGTGTTTTACCTACATGTATGCATGTGCACCACATGTATGCAGTGCCCTCAGGGGCCAAAAGAGGGTTTTGGATCCCCTGGAAGAGTTACAGAAAATTATGAGAAGCCATGTGGGCAATAGGAATCAAACCTGGGTCCTTGGTATTGAGCAGCCAGTGCCCTTAACCACTGAGCCGTCTCTCCAGGCCTGACTGAACCATCTTCCCAGCACTGTTTTTGGTTTTAACACTCTCCAATAGCAGAAGTCAAGTCGACGGTCCACCTTAACTCTGACCTTCTGTCCAGTTTGCGTCTTGCTCCATAAAGTGACATGCTAGTCTAGAAAGAAGCAGTGTCCAGGGGAGAGGTGACGGGCCCACTGTGCCAAGTGAGTGAGACAGCTTCCCAAGCTCCTTTTCGGTTTGTTGCAGAAAGAAAAAAATCTGATATTAGCACTGAAAAACACCACCCTGCGGCAGGAGGTTGAGGACCTACGGTTCCAAGCTGGGAACAGGTTGACCGTGACAAGGTAGCCATCCCCCTTTCCCCGACTCCCGACCTTCCGCCAGAACATCCAGCTGGGAGGGACCCGGAAGAGCCTGGGGACTGGATGGACAAGTGGGCCCAGGACCTGTCTTGGGAACATGACTCCTCTTTCCCTGGGAGTTAGGAAGCCCAGTTTCTCAACATGAGAAAGAGGAAACAGGAAACAATCCACCTGAGCAGGCATGCGTGGAGCGAATCAGTCCTGAGGCTTTGTGAGTGAGCGATATTGTCCCATGTCATGGGCAGCTGAATACGTGACATATTTTCTGGTAGAATCCTCCTCTGGATCCTAAGAGCTAGGTCCTGTTATCCCCGTTTGCTGATGAGGAAACTGAAACTCCGTGTCACCTAAGGTGACCCAGCCTGGTGTGAGGCTCGGCCTGGAGACACCCAGAGCTCCACCTGTGAGGATTTAGTACTTGGTCAACACTAGAATCACCCCTCACATACAGGCAGGTGGGGGGGACACCTTGGAGAGCGCTGATAACCTCCACCCCTCAGGAATGATTCGGGAAGAGGGGGAATGGGTTGGTTCAAGCTCCCTCAAGCAACCCCTGCTCTATCTACACCACAGGCAGTTCCGCAAAGATCTGCTTCAGGACCTCGAAAAGGAGTCACGGAACAGCCACTGCTGCAGCAGACGGAGGAGCCACTGAGCCTCTTCCTTCTTATGCTGCCCTCTGCTGCACCTCAGAGGCCTCTGTCCTCATCATACAGACACAGGGCCTGGGCCCACCATGGCTCCCAGACTCACCACTCCCTCCATAGTCTGTGGAGCAAAGGACAAGACTCCATTCTTCTCCCAGGATGGAGGAGATGTGTATAGGCCACAACACTATGGTGGAGCTTGGGCCACCAGGATCACCCAAGAAGTGCCTTCCCTTAGTTGGCCCAAGGAACAAGCAAGTAGAGTTACCCCTCCCACCCCCGTCCTCATGAGGGCGTTCAAGACTTCTCCCGTGGCAGCTGGCGCCATTTTGACCTTCTGACAAAGAGGGGGAAGCCCCCCCCCCAGATCATCAGCTTTGCTGACAACTCACTGAACCATCAAGTTCTTATTACCACACCCATAATTCTCACTCCGAGAAAAACTGTTAGAGACACCATCCAAGAAAAATGAATACAGCATTGTTTTTGTTGAGATGGGGGGTCTCACCACCACGTAGCCTAACCTTGAACTCGGAACCACCATGCCTCAGCCTCCTGCATGCTGGGAACACGGGCATGTGCCACCTCATCCAGCCAGATAAAGAGTTGAATTTGCTGTAGTGCTAAGCACTGTGAATATTTTTAAGCATATTTATCTAAGGTCTTAATGTGAAAGTGAAATCTTTTTTGTTAAAAATAAAATTATATTTTCATGTTCTTTGCAGGGAGGATACATTTCATTCTGTGTTGTCTTAGTTACTTTTCTGTTGCTGTGGTAAAAATCCCCTGACAAAAGCAACTTCAGGGTAGAAGGGCTTATTTCGACTTAGGGTTCTAGTGGGATAGAGTTCATCATGGTGGCAGGAACCTGAGGCCTGCCTGTCACTTGGCATCAGCAATCAGGAAGGAGGGCAAGTCTATTCAGCGTGAAGGCTCACCCCCAGGGACATACTCCCTCCAGGGAAGAAGTGACCTAGAGGTTCCAAAAGCTTCCCAAACAGTGCCACCACCCGGGGACCATGTGTTCAAAACATGTGGACCTGTGGGAGATACGTCATATTGAAACCACATTTGTCAGGAGATGCTAATCCTCTTACATGGTATGTTTTCAGAAGGTATGTCTCACGATTACTTCAGTGTAGGGCAGTGGCTCGGGACCCCTTTGGGGGTCCTGTATCAGATATCCTGCAGATCAGATACTTACAATGCAATTCATAACAGTAGCAAAATGACAGCTATGAAGTAGCAATGAACATAATGTTTTGGTTGATGATCACCACGACGTGAGGCAGGGTATTAAAGCATCGCAGCATTAGGAAGGGTGAGAACCACTGGTACAGCGTCTTTGGATAGTTTCACATTCTGCTGCCCTAAAACAATTCTAACTGAAATATCTTATGTAGCCATCTTTACACAGATCATGTTCTTATACTGAGTTTGTCAGAAGGGTCACCTCTGCTGGGCCGCAGAAGGGGTCTCGCACACTTTTTAAAACATGTTTATTTTCATGTATGTATGTGTGCCTCCGTACGCAGGTGCCAGCAGAGGCCAGACCTGGGTGTCAGATCCCCTGGAGCTGGAGTCAAACATGATTGTGAGTCACGTGACCTGGGTGCTGAGATCTGCACTCAGATCCTTCAGAAGAGCAACAAATGCTTCTAATCGCTGAGTCATGTCTCCAGTTTCTTTACAAAAAAAAAAAAAAAAAAACGTGTGTGTGTGTGTGTGTGTGTGTGTGTGTGTGTGTGTGTGTGTGTGTGCTGGTGCAGATGTGTGCATGCCTGTGGAGACTGTTGCTGGGAACAGCAGGATCTGAGCAGAGAAGCAGCCAGAGAACCGGGGCATGGGAGGGAAGAGGCCTTGTGGGAAACACCAACCAAATCCTCCAGTCCTAACTTCTCCAGGATGCCAAGAAAAGTCCCTTCCCGGGGTCTCCCTGCCGTGAAGCATGGAGCCATTCAGAGCCCTGCTCAAAAAAGAAACAGGGATATAGGCCAGAAAGGAGGAACTGGGAGGAAGCACTGGGGTCACAGAAGGGTCATGGGGAGCGGCTAGGACAAAAATAAGTGAGTGTAGCTGTGGGCGGAGGTGAGGCTTATGCGGCTGTTACTGCCTCTACATGTTTTTTTTCAAATTATTTGATTACTTTATGGGGTGTGTGTGTGTGTGTGTGTGTGTGTGTGTGTGTGTGTGTGTGTGTCTGCCTAGTGCCCTTGATGGTTGTGAGCCAACATGTGGGTGCTGGGAATCAAACTTAGGTCCTCTGGAAGAGCAGCCAGTGTGCACTTAACTGCTGGGCCATCTCTCCAGCCCCTGTGCATACTTTTTGAAGGAAGAAAGACTTTAACTTTGTTGTTGCTTGTTTTGTTGAGACAGCATCTCATTCAGTCCAAGCTGGCCTCAAACTCACGATGTGGCTCAGAGAAGTCTTCTACTTCTGAGCCTCCGTCTCCTGAGAGCTGGCATCACAGGTGTGTGCTACAACCTGACTAACGTTTTCAAGTGTGCATGCTTGCACACGAGTGTACTTGAGTGGGTGTACTTGCAGGTGCCTATAGAGGTCAGAAGAGGTCATTGGACCTCCTGAAGTTGCAGAGGTCAGAAGAGGGCATTGAATCTCCTGAAGCTGGAATTGCGGTGGTTCTGAGTTTCCCAATATGGTTGCTGGGAACAGAACTCCAGCCCTTCTGACAGAGCCGGAAGTGCTGTGAGCTGCTGAGCCATCTCTTCAATCCTCCTGACTAACTTTTTTTTTTTTTTTGAGACAGAGTTTCACTATGTAGCCTTGGCCAGCCTGGCACTCACTTTGGCCTCAAACTCACAGAGCTCTGCTTGCCTCTGCCTCCTGAGTGTTGAGATTAAAGTCAGGACCCCCCTCCCCCCACCCAATGTAATGTTTTTAAATGAAGGAAAAATAGGATTTGGGGACAAGAAACCTGAAACAGGTGTTTCGGTGTCCGTACATGACGTCTTGGAGCATGGCCACATGAACTGTCTCTGGTGTGTTTGCACTACAGCAGAAGCTTGGCTTGTCCGGCCTAAAATACTGACTGGCCAGCTTTATACAGAATGTGTGCTGACACTGACCTTTGCTCTCAACATTGATGTCCCTAAAAGCATGTTCACTTAAGTGACATAGAAAGAATCCTCTCAAAGAGCAAATCACACAGATAAAAATAATTACAGAAAAATAATAATTACAGGGATGTAGAGCTTACCTGGTACACACAAAGGCCAAGGTTTAATCCCAGCACCACATAGACCCAGTGAGATAGGACAAAACTGTAATCTTAAGCACTAAGAAGGTGGAGGCAGGAGAATCAGAAGTTCAAGGTCACCCTCGATTACATAATGAGTTTAAGGCCAGCCTGGATGCCATGAAACTTCATCTCAAACAAAAGGGGGGTGGGCATATAACGTGGTTCAAAGAATTCATTTCTTCTTCTTCTTCTTCTTCTTCTTCTTCTTCTTCTTCTTCTTCTTCTTCTTCTTCTTCTTTTTTGGTTTGTTTTTCGAGACAGGATTTCTCTGTGTAGTTTTTGTGCCTGTCCAGGATCTCGCTCTGTAGACCAGGCTGTCCTCGAACTCACAGAGATCTGCCTGGCTCTGCCTCCCGACTGCTGGGACTAAAGGCGTGGGCCACCGCCGCCCAGCTATTTTTTCTTCTTACAGTGTTACACTTTGCATATTTTAATGTTTTGGGTCTGGGCTTTTTTGTTTTCAGATTTAGATTTTTGCTTCCCTGCACCTAAGGATGGCTTGTCCCTGGAAAATCCCTCCAGGGTTCTGGGGAGACTGCATTTTCTGCAGAGCATGGCAAGCAGCCTGGTGAAGAGTGGCCTCAGCAAGAGGAGCGTGGGCCTCGTTGCTTGCTCTGCCCCCTGCTGGCTGACCTGGCCTAGCCCAGGCCCGGGATCCTTATCTGTTTAAGGAAGGTTTTGGCCTCCCCAGACCCTCCGGTTTTTCAATGGCTGATTCTCCCAGGGTTGAAAGAAGCTTCGAAGAGCAGCGGTTTAACTGCTTGCCTCAGACTCAACAGTCTCAAAGGAGGTGCTAAGATCTGTACAGACCACAAGGTCTAGCCGGGAGTTTCCAGGGGATAAGCCTCACACAGGTAGTGTCCATGTCTCCCAGATATCCAGCATGTGAGATCTGCTCAAGGCCCTGGGGAGTGAGCCTTTATGTCCTTGAGTGTGTTATAGATCCTAAGTCTAGCCTGTGGGCCACTGAAGGCTCTCAGAGCACCTAGTCCTCTCTATCCCACTATACTTTGCACAGTGTACAACTGTCTAAGAACCTGTGTGATTACTTCAGAACCATTTGCCGCTAGACCTTCGGGGGTGAGCGTGTACCCCTCAAAGCTGGACCAGGCCTGGATTACTCATACTTGATTCCCAGAGCCTTAGATACATATTGGTGAACTGATGGATGGGTGAGTGGGTGGGTAGATGAGTGAGTAGATGAATGAGTGGATAGATGGATGGCAAATGGCTGGATTGGCGGTTAGATGGGTGAGTGGGTAGATGGGTAAGTTGATGAATGGATGGATCAATGTATAGATAGGTGGATATGTAGATGGATGCATAGAATTGGTGAATGGCTAGATATAAGGATAGATGAGTGAGTATATTTATGAATGGATGAGTACATGGATGGATGGATGGATGGATGGATAGATGAGTGCCCCAGAATGGTTTTCACAGCAGGGACATAACCTTATTTTCTTTTCTAATCCAAAGATTCCCAAAGAGACAAAGGATAAATGAGGTCAAAAGGTCAGGACACAAGTGGTCCAGGCTACATTTATGAAATTGGAAAAGTCATTCCCTTCCTGGTGTCTAGTCTGGGGTAAGTCACGGGGTGGGGAATATGTGTCTGGAATAGACAGCCTTGGAAATAAACCGTCTTGGAATATTCAAGTTCTAGAGATCATACATCAGTTAGTTTTCATTTGCCGTGTATTTACTGAGTGCATCAAGAATGAAATCATGGCGGGTGTGGTAGCACACACCTTCATTCCCAGCATCCAGGAAGGAAAGGCAGGTAGATTTCCATGAGTTGGAGGCCAACCTGGTCTACATAATGACTTCTAGGCAAGCCAGGGCTACATACAAAACCTTGTTTCAAAAGCAGACGAAACCAACAATAAGGAATGGATCATGAAGAAAGCAGACATTAATGATAAGAGATAGTCAGGCAAGCTACACACTGGCTTAGAAGAACTTCTGGTTTTTTGTAATGTAGTGTGTGTGTGTGTGTGTGTGTGTGTGTGTGTGTGTGTGTGTGTGTGTGTAGGCCAGAGAACAACCTTGAGTATCATCCTCAGGACTGCCATCCAGTGCCATTGAGACAGGGTCTCTTGTTGGCCTGAAGCTCACATTTAGGCTAGACTAGCTGGCCATCCAGCCCTAGGGATCCTCCCATCTCTGCCTTCTCTGCCCTGGGATTATAGGCACATGCTGCCGCATCTGGATTTTATGGATTCTGAGGATTGAGCTGAAGTCCTCATGCTTCCAAGGCAAGTACGCTATCCACCAGGCTGACCCCCAGCCTAGAAGAACTATCACCCCATGCACAGGACATTTTAAGGAGATGTGATCTTTCACTAGATCCTAGAGTATGTTGTGGTATCTCAGAATCCCAGAGAGGGGAATCTCAGAATCATAGAATCTTAAGAGATTCTCCAAGGAGTAAATGAAACCTTAGAAAGTTCAAAATGCCAGCCTTGACACAGGAAAACAAGACAGAACTCATCCCATTCTCCTACTACGTAGACACACATGTGAAGTCAAAGAGCCCTGCAGAACTCTCAGCTCCCGTTATGAAGAGACCAGACCTCTACTCATTCAATGAGCCAAAACGGCCGTACACCGAGGCTTGCTGGGGCCCACCTGCAGTCCCAGCACTTGGAAGGGGAGGAGTAGGAGTTCAGTGCTTATGTTTAGTCTCATTGCCAAGAGCTAGTAGGTACTAGATGACTGGTGCCACTGTGTCCCTCAGGAAAAAGTCAGCAAGTGCTCTATGGTCACTCAGTGTCTTAGGTGCTGTTCTATTGCGGTGAAGAGATACCATGACCAAGGTCATTCTTAAAAAAGAAAGCATTTAACTGGGGGCTCGCTTACAGTTCTAGAAGGTTAGTCCGTGATCATTATGGTGGACAGTGACTGAGAGCTTTACATACTGATTCACAGGCAATAGGCAGAGACAGAGAGAGACTGGGCCTGGCATGGGCTTTTGAAACCTCAAGGCCCACTCACCCTCAGTGATCCACCTTCTCCAAGAAGGCCACACCTCCTAATCCTTCCTAAATAATTCTACTAACTGGGGACTAAACATTTAAACGTATGAGCCTATGGTGGAGGGGCATTCACATTCAGACCACCACACTTGGCTAGACGTGGTAAAACCAGAAACCCAGAGTTTTTCTGTTAATTTGCTTTTTACTTCAAAGACTACCCCTCCAACACCCCTTTATTTTTAAGATAGGGTCTCACATATACCATAACCTCAAACTTACTATATAACTGAGGATAACCTTGAACTCTTGATCCTCCTGCCTCCACCTCTCCAGTGGTAGCAACAGGAGCCTGTGCTACCATGTCTGATTTGTGCTGGGGATCAAACCCAGGACCTCCTACATGCTAGCCAAGCATTATACCAATAGAGCTAACATTCTGGCTCCAGCAAAAGTCTTGGGAACAGTGTTGCAAACTACTGGCCCAAGTCTTTGGTGATCTGGTGCAGGGAGAAGCCAGAGCCTTCAAGGCTATCAGTCAACACATTACCAACCTACTACCAGGGCAATAAGGACTCTGGCTTCATCCAGCTCCTCTGGATAGAAATTTCTAGATTTCTATAGCATTGAATGACATGCAGATGTTTCCAGATGTCCATATTGTTGACAATTCTCCCACACATACTCCTTATATGGATGGTTTTTGTGGTTTATATTTTGGTGCAGGATTTCTGGCAGCCCAAGGCTGGCCTTATCTTTGCTGGAGATAGCCTTAAACTCTTTTTTTTTTTTAAAGATTTATTTATTAATTATGTATACAATGTTCTGCCTGCGTATACGCCTGCAAGCCAGAAGAGGGCACCAGATCTCATTACGGATGGTTGTGAGCCACCATGTGGTTGCTGGGAATTGAACTCAGGACCTCTGGAAGAACAGCCAGTGCTCTTAACCTCTGAGCCATCTCTCCAGCCCCCGCCTTGAACTCTTGATCCTTCTGCCTCTACCTCCCAAAGGCTGGGATTACAGGCATGTAACACCATCCCCAGTTTACAGCAGTGCTGGAGATTGAGCCCAGGGCTTCATGCAAGCTGGACAAGCCCTCCACAAACTGAGCTGTATCCCCAACCCCTGATACCCTGGGCATTTCTCTCTCCACTGCCACCACTTTGATCCAACCCATGAGTCAGGCATCGATTGAAGTTTTGAAGGCCATTCCTTTTAGAGGACCTTTGCCAGGCTGTGGCTGCAATCGAGGAGCAGGAGCCAGTGGTTGCTTCCGGAGTCTTGCTCGAGCTCTGGTGGGTGATGTCACCAAGCAGGGCATGGAAGGCATCTGGGAGAAGTGTCTTCAGAAGGTTGGCCAAGGGGAAAGAGACTGAAGAAACCAGCTCACTGTGGCTGAGCTGGCAAATGACTTCACCCTGGGTGAATCTGAGGCTGGCACTGCCGAGCTCCCGAACGTGACTCCTGAGGAACTAACATGTGAGAACTTGTCGTCCTAGCACTGGGGGGCAGCGGAAGGAGATGGGGAGTTAAGGTTGGTCTGGGCAGCATAGTTGACAACCTGCCTAGAAAACAAACAAAAAAAACAACCTTTTACAGGGCTGGAGAGATGACTCAGCAGCTCAGAGCGCTGGCTTCTCTACCAGAGGACCCAGGTAAATATTTCCAGGACTCACAAGGCAACTGACTCACAGGGCAACTCCGTTATTCCAGTTCCAGATGATCCAGCGCCCTCTTCTGGTCTCCATGGGCACTGCATGCAAATAGGACACAAATATTTAGGCAAAACATGCATACACATAAAATTAAGAATAAGGACTGGAGAGATGGCTCAGAGGTTAAGAGCACTGACTGCTTTTCCAGAGGTCCTGAGTTCAATTCCAGCAACCACATGGTGGCTCACAACCACCTGTAATGAGATCTGGTGCCCTCTTCTTATACATAATAAATAAATAAATCTTTTTAAAAAAAAATAAGAAGTTGGAGGACAGTGTGGTCTACAGAGCGAGATCCAGGACAGCTGGTAATCAGGTCTGTTAACACAGAAGAACCCTGTTTTGGGGGGAAAAAATCTGGGAAATTTGGAGACTTGGGCCCCAAAATCCCAGGAACTCCCTTTGAGAGAGAGAAGTTCACAAAGCAGTAGCTGCCTATGGTAGACCTAGTTTTTATTTGTTATGGCGGGGGGAGGGCATTTCACACAGACCACAGCAGGTGTGTGGAGGTTGGTGAACCACTTTAGGGAGCTGATTCTCCCATTCCGCTATGGAATCTCAGGTCATCAAGTCTGTACAACAAGACATTTTACTTAATGAGCCATCTCCACAGCCCACCCAGGGACAAATGTCAGTGATGACTCTTCCTTGGGAGGACCCTCAAGTGCCTCAGGATTATCCCAGAAGGCATTGCCATAGGAGGTGACAGCTCCCTACTGTCCTGAAGAACTTCCAAGTGAGATGGTGGTTACCCAGGCTGGCCTTAAACTTCTGACCATTCTGCATCCTCCTCCAGAGTGCTGGTATTACAGCGTGTACCATCACACCTAGCAAATGTTTGGGTTTTTTTTGGGGGGGGTGGGGGTTGAGGCAGGGTTTCTCTGTGTAGCTTTAGTACCTGTCCTGATCTCGCTCTGTAGACCAGGCTGGCTTTGAACTCACAGAGATCTGCCTGACTCTGCCTCACGAGTGCTGGGACTAAAGGTATGCGCCACCGCCACCCAGCCACAGCAAATGTATTTTAAACAGTGTAGCCCAAGAATGTTCATAAAGTCCATAGTAGTATGCTGTAATACTCTGGGCCTGCACACTTACAACTGCTTTCTGACACCCGAGCAGAGCAGCTCTAGGCCTGTTCTGCCGACCCCCTTCATAGGGTGTGTCCTGTACAAAAAAAAAATTTTTTTTTGAGACAGGGTCTCTCTATGTAGCTCTGTTTGTCCTGGAACTCACCACTATGTAGATCAGCTGGCCTTGAACTCACAGAGATCAGCCTGGCTGCATCTCCCAAGTGCTAGGATTAAAAGCATGTGCCACGAGGCCCAGCTCAGACATACCATTTTTTTAATCTTTGGGTTGTTTGGGAGTTTGGGAGGATGCTGTTTTGTTTTGAAACAGGGTCTCACTATGTAGTCCTGGCTGGCCTGCATGGAACTCAGGGAGATCGGCCCTCCTCTGCTGTATGATAAGAATGACCTTGAACATCTGATTCCTCTGCCTCCACTTCCCAAATCCTGACATTACAGCATAAACCATCATGCCCAGCTCAGTTCCTTCAGTTCTGGGAATGGAACCCAAGGCTACATGTGTGTGTGCTAGACTACCAACTGAGTCACATCCCTAAAGTGACCTCGTGTCCCAAAGTGGGTGTACTCATATCCCGAGATTCCATAGCAGGAAATAATCTTCATGCCAAATGGTCAGGAACTATGGAGAGAATAAACCTTTAACTCTTTATTATTATTATTATTATATTTTTATTAATTCTTTGAGGATTCCATACAAAGTACTTTTATCATATTGACCCCTAACTGCTCCAGATCCACCTCCAGCTTCATGTCCTTTTTTTTTCCTTTGAAGATTCTCTTTTATTTTTTTTGGGGGGGGGACGGGTTTGAGATAGGGTCTCTCTGTGTAGCTTTGCTCCTTTCCTAGAACTCGCTTAGTAGACCAGGCTGGCCTCGAACTCACAGAGATCCGCCTGGCTCTGCCTCCCGAGTGCTGGGATTAAAGGCGTGCGCCACCACCGCCCGGCTCCTTTGAAGATTCTTAAGTCTTGTGCAGGCCCTGAGAGAGGCCTTGAGGGCTTTCGCTGGAAAGCATTCCAGGTTATTATCAGACAGGATTCCTAGGGCCAACTCATGTGGGAGCCTGCAGGAAGACATCGCATTGTCTGGTCACCATCCAGCAACTGGCCAGCAGGTGGCAGTATCTGTCCACTTTCCACTTCTCTGCCCAAAGATCCTCTTGCTATAAGCGGAGTTCAAATTAAAACCCAGAGCAGAGAGTTAAGGAAAATCCCCAATCCCGGTGCATTGTTCTGGTGTGAGTCACGGCATCTTACCCTCTCCCATACAGATCCCTCTGGATGGGCCAGTCTGTGGAGGAAGAAACCCAAGAGAATTCTGAACGCATGATGCCATCTGGATGCTTGCTTCCTTCCAGGGTTTGTTTCCATCAGCCTGCGAGGCTGGGACACCTGCTTACTTACAGTCCCACAGCTGAGGGGGCTTCCTTTTTATACTTAAAAAAAAAAAAATACAGTGTTACACTCAGAGCTTTCCCCATATCTCAGATTGTTTTCTCAGGACTGATTCCAAGAAGCAAAGACAATGAACCCAGCCTGGGAACGGTAACTGTAATTAGCCGTCATTCTTGCTGGGTGCCTCCGCTCCTGGCTTAAGGCCTCAGCTGTGCAGCCGAAGGAACTGCCTTGTAATCTTGCCTCAGCCTCCTCAGCTGACTTCAGGTAAAAGTGATAGTTTTGATTACAAGCACAGCAAGTTAGGAATACTAAATGGTAGCCGATGGCCATGCAGGCCCATAATCCAGCACTGGGGAGGTGGAGGCAGCAGGATCAGCCGTTCAAGGTTATTCTTAGCTACACAGAGTTGGAAGCCATCCTGAGATACAGGAAACTTTGTCTCCAAAGACTAAATCAAATTTGTCAATCACAATGAAATATAATCAGTACTGCCCGGGTGTGGTGATGCCCACCTATAATTCCAGTGTTTGGGAGGCCAGTACAGGAGGGTCATAGTTCAGGGTCATAGTGACAGCCCAGGCTGAGCAGTGAGATTGTACACTCTATCCCATTCTCTACAATATCACTCTAGTCATTACCTCTCCTACCTCTTCTCTTCTCCATCCATTGCCCACCCCCTCTAAGGTCTCCTGTATCTCTGGCTGGCCTTGAACTCTCTATATACCTAAGGGTGATCTTGGACTCCTGATAGTCCTACTTCCTGAATACTGGAATTACAGGTGTGAATTGTGCCAGCATGCCTAACCATGGAGACATAAGAGCCTATTTGTATGCTGATGGGAATGATCATAGAGACTGTGGGAAACCTGGACTAGGGTGGTGTATCTCAGCAGTTGGTAGAGTGCTTACCTAGTATGCACAAAGACCAGGTCAGATGCCCGGTCCACAGAAACAAAGCATGACGGTGCAGATGAAAGCCAGTAATCCCAGCACTCAGGAGTGGAAGCAGATCTGGAGTTCAAGGTCATCCTCAACTACATTGCAAACTGATGGCCAGCCTGGGCTACAGGAGCCCCTGTCAAATGACAAACACCTAAATAAATGCAGGTCTCAGGCTGGAGTTATAACTAGGAGTAATTAACTAACACGTAACCAGGCCCATGGTTCTATCCCCAGCAAAGCACGCTCAAGACCACACACACACACACACACACACACACACACACACACACACACACACTGGCAAGGATGTGGAGTGGAGAAATCTGAACAATCTGAACACTGTGCGTTGCTATGGGAATATCAGACAGGGCTCCTCAGCAAGCTCAACATGGAGGGGTGTAGTTCAGTGGGAGAGTGTTGCCTAGCACACATAAGGTCCTGCCTTCATTGCCCATTGCTGCAAGGAGAGGAGAGCCGTATTATCATATAGCCACATTGGTCTCACTTCTAGGGAAACACGAGGGAACCCACACACTGGCATTTAAGTGTTCCCCACTGTTAATAGTGGCCCAATTACAATAGCCAGAGAGTTGAAATGAGTTAAATCCCACCAGCCAAAGAACTGAAAAGCAAACTTCAGCAGACTCCCACAACAAAATATTATTCACCGTAACGAGGAAGTACTGACAGATGCCACCATGTAGATGGCCAAAGGAGGCCAGACCAAAGGCTGCATGTGTCTTGTTCCCTTTATATTAAGTGGGCAAAAGAATCCATAGGGACAGAAATCAAATCTGTAGAGGTGGGGTGGCGAGGTGTGGTAATTCACAACTGTAATAGGAGCATTTGGGAGGGAGAAGCTGGTGGTGGATGATGAGTTCAAGGTCATTCTCAGCTACAGGAGGAGTTCAGGGCCAGCCTCAAACACAGGAGACCTTGTCTCAGAAGACCAAAAATGGGGGAGGAGAGAGGAAGCGAAGGGGGAGGGGGAGGGGGAAGGGCTGAGGAGGAGAGAGCAAATTGGTGGTCCTCAGGGACAGACCGGTTCCGGAGAGATGGGAGTGACTGCTAAGAAGGTCCTGGCTTTTCGTAGTCAAGAAATGGCACGGAGTCAGATACAGCATGTACACAGCTGTGGATGCACGAAACCCTCACCCTGCCCTTACCCCACATCCTGCAGCAGCCCCCCAAGGACTCCAGGCCCTGCATGAGTTGATCCTCCCTCTATCTCTGCCTCTTGCTGGGGTGGCGCCACACCCTGGACCCCTTCTGGTCTCCAGGCACTGTAGCGCTGTTCCCACTACTGTTTCCAACATGTCTGCTCAGTTCTGCTGACTTCATCTCCTCCGAGTCTTCCTCAAATCTCTCAGATTTTGCCTTTGCTAAACACCCTACTAAGTACTACATCTGTCACCCAGCACATGTCACCTGTTTTTTTCCCCTTTTTTTCTTTTTTTTTTTTTTAGATTTATTTATTATGTATACAGTGTTCCACTTGCATGTATGCCTACATGTCAGAAGAGGGCACCAGATCTCATTATAGATGGCTGTCAGCCACCATGTGGGTGCTGGGAATTGAACTCAGGACCTCTGGAAGAGCAGCCAGTGCTCCTAACCACTGAGCCATCTCTCCAGCCCTTTTCCCCCTTTTTTGTCCTGGCTCACATGTTGTCACTGCTATAATGTATCCGTCTCCTCTAGGCTGGGATGCAGACTATGACAGCAGAGATCTTATTTTAGTCATAATGCTTCTGAAATAGGGCCGGGCACATAGTAGGTGCTGAATAAATAAATATGAATATCTAACCAATGAAGTGCTGGGATTAGATATGGCATTATAATTAAAAAGGTGTCCACGGATGGCAGGATGGCTCAGCAGGTAAAGGAGCTTGCCCCAAACCTGTCAGCATGAGTTCTGTTCTCGAGACCTGCATGAACCTGAGAGAGAACCCAGTCCTGCAAGTTGTCCTCTGACCTCTGCATGGTGCTATGGCACTTGTGCTCAAAAGTGAGTGCATGCACACACCTGTGCATACAAATACATGAATTTAAAACAAGGGGGCGGGAAGTATACAACAGCGTGACTCAAGAAGAATGTTCAGTAAATGGCAACAGCTATGATTGTGCAAGATCACTGACCCCCATCTCGGCAGGGCCAGTCCTCTTGTGTCTGCTTTCTCCACTTCTCTCATTTTCTTCTTTACATTTATTTATTTGGTTTTCTCTGAGTCTCAAGGAGCCCAGGCTGTCCTTGAACTGCCATGTGGTTGAGGATAGCCTTGAACTTCTGATCCTCCTAAGTACTGGGATTGCAGATGGGCACCACTAAATCCAGTTTTATGTGGTGCTGGCAATCCAACCCAGGGCTTCGTGCCTGCCAAACACTCTACAAACTGAGCCACAGCCCCCAGCCCAGTACAGCATGTTTTTGAGACAGAAAAGTTGATATGAAGCCGATGAAGACCTTGAACTCCTGATCCTCTTGCTTGTCCTGCTTCAGCCTCTCAGTGCTGGGACACAGGCTCGGCTGATAATGTTTCCCACTTGAGCTCACTCTTCTCAAAAGTTCTAACTCTGCCATTCCCATTCCGAAAAGTTAGACTGCCCAGATGGCTTCACCTCACATGCTTCCTCCACCTTAGCCCCAGGCTTCCTAGAAAACCAATCAAAACCTCCTGTCTATTGGAAGGTCCCCGAGGGTGGGGCAGGGCTGCTGAGCCCACCTGCTCTCTTAGCCCTAGCATGGAGCAAGCACTCAATACATGGTCACTGGGCGAAACAGACAGACAGAGAACACGTTTTCCAATCAGACCTTGCTTGTTAGAGGCTTTCAAGCCTCTGAACTAGTGACAGATTCTGAGGATAATATCTTTTAAACTTTAAAAATTGCGTTTTATTTCTTTATCAGAGCTAGGAAAAATGTACCACACGTGGGTCTCAGGGATCCAACTTAGGTTTGGCAGCAAGCACCTTTGCCAGCTGAGCCAGCTCACTGGACCCTGAGGATGACCCTTTGAAGAAACTCGGAAAAGAACCTGTTAACAGAACAGTTCGCTGTCCACTCTGTGGCCACCAAGCAGCGAGCCATCTCTGTCAAAGCCGGGCCATCTGTTTCCTAGGGACTCCCAGAGATTGCCGCTTCTCCACACAGACCTAGACGACACCTTCTCGTCTCCTAGACGGACCCTCTTCGACCAGAACGCACTCCCTAAGGCCAAGGAATCCCCCTGGAGCCACCTGCCCTAAGTTCCATTCCCAACACCACAATCTGCAAGCTGTATGACCCGGGCGAGGCACTGTCTCCTCTGGGCTTTCCTTCGCTGCAAAGGAGGTGACTGTGCCTGTGACCCGGTAGTGTCGGAAGGCGTGAAATCTGATCAGTCCGGGAAGGTCTCCACTTCGATTCCGACAAGCCTCTATTTTCTGTTTCTCAACAAAGCTTCGGTGGGGCAGGAATGCAGGAGAAAGTGTCCAGAACAGGACATTAGCTTGACTTCTAATTGTGATTTGCCAAGTCCCCTTCCCTCTGAAGGCGTCAGGTCTGGGGTCTTAACCGCCCCAGGTAGGAGGTCGCAGGTTCCCGGGGAGAGCGCCCTCCCCCACGCCCTTCCCCTGCAGCTGGTGACACCCTGACTCCAAAAGAGAACCACCCGGGGTGGGGCGGGGCGGGGCGGGGCGGGGCGGGCAGCAAGCGAACCCGATTGGTCCCAGCACGCCACGTGTCCCCTGCCACGGTGTGCCCAGTCTGCGCTGCGGCTGCTGCTAGGCTAACGGGCTTCGAGCTGCGCCTGTCTGTCCGCTCTGACCCAAGGCCTCCCCCGCACGGTGAGTGTGCAGAGTCGTGGCAGGGCACGGAGTCTAGGGCTGCAGGGACCCGGGACGGGCACCTGGCTGGGTCCCAGCTGGGGTGAGGCCCCCCGGGAGAGTCGCGGTTGGGTGTGTCCCTGGAGGGAATCTAAGGTGCAGGCGTGGGGTGACAGCGCCTCTGCGGGGGAGGGGAGCTGGTGGAGCCCCGGCCCCGCCGAGGGTGTGGTCCAAGGCCCCGGACGCCTGATCGCCTTAACTTCACGAGTGGAAAAACTTGGGAAGACTGGAGACGCGGATCTGGGGACCCTCGGGGGAGGCTGTGAGTTGCTCAACTTTGAGAGCTTGAGGAATTGAATCCTCTGCTGAGCACCAGACGGCTTATTGAGTGGTCGCAGAGAGAGGCTCCCTGATGCCCACCGAGGAAGGCCCAGCTGTCCATCCCCAAGGTTCCGATGGTCCGGCCCCCACTGCGCAGCTGCTTACCTGTCGGGGAGCCACGGAGGCCCTTAGCGAGATGCAGAGGCCCCACTCTTTCTTCTGCTTCTCCTAAGCCAACCCGTGTCTTCCCAAAGCTCCAGGGCCTTACATGCTTTCTAATGACCTCGAACCCAGACCCTACCACCAACTTGCAGTGTGACCTTGAGCCGGTCTCTTTCCCTCTCTGAGCTCCCTCTCCCAGGTGCTGATAAACCCCTCCTTCTAGGTAAGCAGTCGCTGTGAAAGTGGGTTGATCTGACTGCTGGTACAGGTGTGGGCGGTGAAAAGCTCCTTTAGGAGAATGAATCTGGCCTCTGCTTTCTCCCTCCCTCCGTCCCTCCCCCTTCCTTTTGTCTAAACTCTGGTGGGTCTTCCCAGTCACTTCCAAATTTGGGCATATGGCTCCTGGGTTTGTAAGAGCTCCTGGTGTCCCCTGAGAATCTGCCTTCCTTTCCACCCCTCTCCTGCCCAGATCCCATCTTGACGCTGCTGTCCCCACCCCCAGACAAGACAGCCTGACTTTGAAGCCTTCTTGTCACGTCTGCCCCTCATACACCCTGCTGTTCTGGCTTCAGGCCTTGAGCCCTGCAGAAGACCCTGGGCGACCCTCTCTCATGTCCATGGGCTGCGGCTTGCCTGAGGCCCTTTGGATGGGCCTCTTTTCTCTCTGGGCCCTTGTTCCCCATAGCAGTCTGCTGAGGAGGCTGCTACTTCCGGCGGCACACACACCCCCCACCCCCCTTGGCCCATTCAACTGCTCTGAGATTTGGGAGTTGGGTGTGGCCGGGCATGGAGGAAAGAGAAAGCCTTCATCCCCTTGCAGCTGTGACTGTCGCTCACCATGTCCCTCTACTTCCTGTCCTTTTGTTCATTCGCCTCCCTCTGCTGGGATACCGAACCTATTTGCTGTTTCTGGACAGGGGATGCAGCTGTCGCTGGACAGAACACGGGTTTGCCCCCGAGAGTGGAGATGCTGGGGTGGGGGTGGGACTGGGAATGGGGGACTGCAGCACTGGAGAGCCGCCAGAGACTGTACATACATCTGCACTGCAGCTCCCAGAGGAGTCCTGCACACCAGGCCCCGCCCCGCCCCACCTCTGCCCCGCCACCCACCAGCTGGGCACCTCCCCACCTTGATTCCTTCCTCCCTTGAGGAGGAGACCTGTACCCAAGACTCCAGCTGGTAAGATGTGTTGGGCCTGGGTGATGGCTCTTTACAGTGCCATTCAGGGGTACCCCTAGGCAGCTTCTTCAAGAGAATTCCTGGGTGGGGTCAAAGCTGAGGATGTGGTCTCCACAGATTCCTCATATGGGGGGTGGGGGTGGGAAATGTATCCTAGCTTGCTGCTTCTTGGCTTGGACTCCAGCCTCTACTATTTACATGCTGCATTCCATTTGCATTTGGAGGATTCCTCTCCTGGAGGACTGAGAAGCCCCCACGGAGGCTGGCCCTGCAGAGCTGTGTGTTGGCTTCTGGGTTCTATGAGCCCAGATGCCCCCATCTGTAAAAAGAGGACTGATACCTTCATGTGGTATCGCGCCTACAGATTCGGAAGTGCCTTGTAAACTGTAGAGTGCTCTGTGTAGAGAAGCTAGTGTTGCTGTGGTAACCTCAGAAGGGTGTGGTCCTCAGGAGGCTACCTGAGCCTCAGGTTCCTCTTTCTCAGGACTGGCATCCCGAGGCTCCTTCAAGTCTTTGTCACTGATGGAACCCTTCCAGCTGAGTGGACGCGGGGAACCCTTGTTAGATGCTGCTATCCGACCAGTAAGAGATAGAGACACTCTCACCCTCAAATGTAATGACGTGGCTAGAAATAGGTTCCCCTACATAGGGGAAGCCCTGGTTCCTTCCCCCAGGGAGGCATAAACTGTGTGTATCTGCAATCCCAGCACTCGAGGTGGGGCTGCAAAATCTGGAAGTTCAAAGTTCAGGGTCACTCTGAGCTACATAGTAAGTTGGGTACAGGAGGCCTCATCTTTAAAAAAAAAAAAAAAAAAGAGGTAAAGAAAAGTTGTAAGCCCTTGCACAGCACTTCCTGTGCACGAACTTTCTGTGCAAGGTCCTCTTATGCACACTCATCTTGTCTTCATTCTCTCCAGGTGTGGTAGCCAATCAGTGCCTTTGCTTTAATTCCAGCAGAGGCAGAGGCAGAGGCAGTTGGATCTCTGAGCTTGTGTCTATTATCATATGTATCTGGTCTGCTACGGAGAGAGTCCCTGTCTTTAAAACAAACAACAACAACAAAAAACCCTCAATTTGTCTTTATTCTTTATACTTTAGCCATAAATACATATTTACATGTATTTATTTATTTGTATGTGTACATTCGTGCCATGGTATACATGTGGAGATCAGAGGACATCTTTCCGGAAGTTGGTCCTCTCCTTCCATGTTGTGGGTCAACTCAAGTCAAAGGCTCCTTACATATGCTGAGCCATCTTGCAGCTGTTTTTACCCCCATTTTTTATATTTGACAAGGTCTCTCTTTTTGTTTGCTGCTGGCCCATGAGCTATCAAGGATCCTCTTGTCTCTGCCTCCCATCATGCAGTAGGATGGTAGACTTGGCTACTGTGCAGGGCTTTACCTGTGTTTGGGGGATTTGAACTCAGGTCCTTCCCACCACGCAGCTTCTAAACAGCACCTTGGAGCTTTGACCTCAGGACACCTGACTCCTGTGAGTTGCTAGACTTTATCATTCACGAAGTGACCTCACCCGGGATTCAAACCCACGTCAGGGGATTTCTGATCCTGGGGCAGCCTGATGAATGCCTGGGGCCCTGTCCAGCTAGGGATCAATGACGGTTGGTCGGGAGTTGGAAGACACTGCTCTCGAAGAAACCTGAGTGTCTGGAGTGGGGGGAGGGGCAAGAGAGGGGTGCTCTATCAGCTGCATCAGCTGGGACTCGCTGCTGCTCCTTCTGCCTGGAGGGAGCCCTTAAGAAAAAGAGAAAGAATTTTCTAGATTTATCTTTTCTAGGTGGTAGGACTAGAACCCAAGGACTTACACATGCTAAATAAATAATCTACACTAAACTGCATACCCAGTCTGACAGGAATTTTGAAAACCAAACCCTTCAAAGTATAATAGACTTACCCCAGGAGGCACCAGACCTTTCTGGGTACAGAAAATTCTCAGACTCTGTTATTAAAATGATTGTTTTTGAGACAGGGTCCAATGTAGCCCCGGCTGGCCCTGAACTTGTTATACAGCTGATGATGAATTTCTAATCCTCCGGCCTCCACCTCCCACATGCTAGGATTGCTTGTGTATATTATCATGCCTGGTTTATGCGGTGCTAGGGATCAAACCCAAGGCCTTGTGCATGCTGGACAGGTACTATACCAGCTGAGCTACATCCCAGCCTACAACATGTACTTTTTCTACACGATTTTAAAAGCAGATTGAAGGGTGGGGAAGTGGCTGCTTAGCAGGTAAAGGCTCCTGCCACCAAGCCTGAGGGCCTGAGTTCGAGCCCCAGGACCCACATGGAAGAAGGAAAGAACCAACCCTCATAAGCTATCCCATGGCACATGTGTGCCCTGTCCCTGAAAAAAAAATTAAAAAGTTTATCATAATCAGTGCTCGGTTTTTTTCCTCTGTAGTTACTGGGCAGACTTCAGTATTAGGCTGCCAGTACCACGGGCACAGGAGCCTTGGCTATCCCATTTTCTGCCCTTACCCCAGCTCCTGCCAGTGAGCCTAGGTGGTTAGTAGGTGTTTTGTTTTGTTTTGTGTTCTCATGAGTCCCAGTTAATCAGTAATTTTCTCTATGGACTTGGACAAGTTACCCAACTTCTCAGGTCATTTCCCCCTGGCCACAGCCTGGGGACAAAGCAATTTGGTTCAATGGTTCTATTTATTTCCCCCCTGTGACTTCTCAAGGGTGCCACTAAAGAAACCTCTCGTGGTTGTAACTGGAATTTTTATCCTGTAAACTTCTGCAGCCCTAACTGACAAGGCTCAGCCACCTGGTCCCAATAAACCAGTTAGAGACCAGTAATGGTGTGTGTGGGGGGGGGGGGGGGGGATATTCAAAGGAAGTTTATTCAATGTTCAATATTCAAGCTGGGAAGAAGACCGAACAGAGGGAGGCTGACCACCAAGCCCATTTTTAGGATACTGACATGAGCCTTCATAGAGGAAGAAGTGGGGCAGGAGATGAGCACAGTCAACTAATCCTGGTCGCGATGTAGCCTGGCTTTCGTTATCTCCATCTGGTCCTTCTGGGCGGTTCTTATCTCTCATCTCTGTCAATGTCATTGCTTTAGGAGCTCAATCTGGTTCCTACTGGCGGACCCCTTCTGCTGGGTGCAGCTTGCCCTCAGGAATGACTGTCCTCTTTTACAGGGTGGTGGGTTCTGCGGAGTTTTGTTCTTTGGGAATCTAAGGTGACTCCAGAGGAGAGGTTCAGGACAGTACTTAGCTCTGTACTTTCAGCCAAAGCAAAGGAGACAGACAGACAGACTCCAGATGAAGGGATGCCGGGAGATACCTTGGATTTAGTTTCCTTGTGAGCAGAGTCGGGGGGGGGGGGGGGGGGGGGGGGGGGGTCTATGCTTTTGAGGAAAAGCATCCTGGAAGAATTGGTTTCTTAGCCTCTTCATGCAAGACAACCTTTAGGAAACGCCATCCCCGGCGGGAGGGTTACAGTGGGCACAATAGCTGTGCGGTAAAGTCCCCAAAAAAGGCCAAGCCACGAGTCACATACAATAAAATAAAAATGATCTTCCGCTCATGGTTTTAGTCTACTTATAATCAACGAACTAGTCCAAGCGGTTATTAGTAACCAGCTCAAAATGGAATCAATAGCCACCTTCATATTGAAAGGAATATGCACTCAGAGGCAAAACTGGTTTTTCCACCCAAGGGGGAAGGGAGAGACAGTGGAATGTGCAAGTTATTAGAATTGCTATGTATGAACATTAGTCACCTACAACTCGCTGAGCTATAAAGAGCCTGAAGACAGAAAACTAGAATCAGATAACCCAGAAAGGTTTTCTTTGAAGATAGGGTTTTTGTTTTTTTTTTTACTTCCCCACAGTGCATTCAGGGCCAGTGACCTCCAGCTACACAGAATGGCAAATCCTCAGTGGTTGACCACAAGCCAGTTGAGGGAGGGTGGTGTGGAGCCTGTGGGGATTCCAAGGAGGGGAAATCTCCATGGCTCCCAGTTGAGGTAACCACTGAGACCAGTCGGTTGGTTCTCAACTTTGTTGGCTGCTG